TTCCCTTCTGATGTAAAGCAAGTGCTGCTTGGTACTGTGGTAAAAACATTTGTCAATTAAGATAACACTGTAGTGAATCTTATTTATTTTACATTGCCTCTTGGAAAAGGATATCTGTGTTGTTAAGACATACATATTACTTTAAAGAACAGTTTCCTTTGAAGTGTAAGCTATGATTTCTAGTTTTTCACATATTATTTTAAAGAATTTGACAAAAATTCTATGGAGTCATTGGATGGTTTTTTTATGGAGTCACCTACCACTTAATGTGTTAACATCTGTTAAAATTGTATTTACTATAGGACACGTGCCAATACACTATTGGTTAATAAGTGTGGATGGTTCTATAAGTCGAACCATCATAGCTCCATAGTAAGTTATGATTTCTAATTTTCTACATTATCATTTTCTATTCATTTGTCTATGCGCTAATATGGTATTTAGAATTGTTTGGTATGCAATCTTTGTGAGTAAAAGGGAGATTTGAGGTAAACTAATGTTTTGTTAAGTCAAAAGTTACTTAATTGTTTGGTCATAAGTAATCTTTGAAATAATTTTTTGTATCCAAAAGGTAAATTTTGGAAAAATTAAATATGAGCTTTTGAAATAGATGACAGTAAAACTACTTATATTTATATATCAAACAATCGGTATTTATCAAATACTTCGCATAATCAACCAGTCGAAAGTGTTAATTCAATCATCTATTAATTCAATGTTATCACCTACCGATATATCACACTTCTATTTATGTTGTTTAATTAAGATTTTTCAAGTCAATATAATATATTATAACTAACTGTTAGTCTTCATATGCATAATAGCAAGCTTATAGGAAATGTGTAAATAAATTTGCATGTGTAAATAAGTTTGCACATGTGTTAAATTTGCAATTATTTAGCAATACACGCGGTAGAGATGTAAATCTGCCGATAGGAAATCCAAAATCTTTCATTTCGGTTTGTTTACCCATCGAGCCCAGCAATATGTTATTGAGCCCAATAATTTATGGGCCTCCAGCCCATTCGATTGCCCGCAGTACAGACATCTTCAGATGCACCTCACCGCACACTAACATAATATCCACCATCAAAAACCCTGAACCCTATTCCCTACAGCTCTCCCCATTTTCCATTTCCACCAGCAAAACCCTAAAACTGAAATTTAAACAAAAAAAAAATCCGCCGCCGCCATGGCCGACCTTCAGGCATCCCATCCCGAGAAATCGAAGAAGAAGAAAAGCAAGCCTAAGGATGAACCAGAGGAGAAACCCGAAAACGATGCCGTTGACTACCTGATAAAGCCGCAGAGCTACACTCCGGCCATCGACACCTCCCAGTGGCCGATTCTCCTCAAGAACTACGAAAAGCTCAATGTACGAACCGGACATTACACCCCTATCCCCTCCGGTTACACCCCCCTGAAACGCCCCCTGGCCGAGTACATCAAGTATGGCATCCTCAACCTCGACAAGCCGGCGAACCCCTCCTCGCACGAGGTTGTCGCCTGGATCAAGCGCATCCTTCGGGTCGAGAAAACTGGGCACTCGGGCACTCTCGACCCGAAGGTCACCGGCAACCTGATCGTCTGCATCGACCGAGCCACACGCCTGGTCAAGTCCCAGCAGGGCGCCGGAAAGGAGTACGTCTGCGTGGCCAGACTGCACTCAAAGGTCCCCGAGGTCTCGAAGGTAGCCCGAGCTCTCGAAACTCTAACAGGTGCGGTTTTCCAGCGTCCTCCTCTGATTTCAGCTGTCAAAAGGCAGCTTAGGATTAGAACTATTTACGAAAGCAAGCTGCTTGAGTATGATGTCGATAGACATTTGGTTGTTTTCTGGATCTCTTGTGAGGCCGGGACTTATGTGAGGACTCTGTGTGTGCATTTGGGGCTTTTACTGGGTGTGGGAGGGCATATGCAGGAGCTGAGGAGGGTTCGGTCCGGAATTTTGGGGGAGAAGGATAATATGGTCACAATGCATGATGTGATGGATGGGCAATGGGTGTATGATAACTACAGAGACGAGACGTATCTGAGGAGAGTAATTATGCCCCTTGAGGTGCTTTTAACTAGTTACAAGAGGCTTGTTGTGAAAGATTCTGCAGTTAATGCCATTTGTTACGGTGCTAAACTGATGATTCCTGGTTTACTGAGGTTCGAAAATGATATCGAGGTTGGTGAAGAGGTTGTCCTGATGACGACAAAGGGTGAGGCGATTGCACTTGGAATTGCCGAGATGACGACAGCTGTCATGGCCACGTGTGATCACGGGACGGTGGCCAAGATCAAGAGGGTTGTAATGGACAGGGACACTTATCCTCGTAAATGGGGGCTTGGCCCGCGGGCTTCAATGAAAAAGAAGCTGATTGCTGAAGGGAAATTGGGCAAGCACGGGAAGCCGAACGAGAGCACTCCGGCCGAGTGGATGAGGAATGTGGTTCTGCCAACTGGAGGTGATACGGTGGTTGCCGGCCTAGCGGCAGCCACTGTGGAGCCTCAGCCGGCCTCTGAAGATGGTGAGAAGAAGAAAAAGAAGAAGGGTGAGGAAGGGGGTGACGAGGGGCGTAAGCGTAAATTAGACGATGTGGATGTTGGTAGTCCTTTGACAGAAAGTGATGTTAAGAAGGCTAAAGTGAAAGGGGAGGAGATGAAAGTAAAGGCTGAGAATGTGGAGTTAGAAGAATCTGAGAAAAAAGAGAAGAAAAAGAAGAAGAAGAAAAACAAGGAGGTTGCTGGTGAAGGTGAGGATGAGAAGAAGGATGAGACTGTGGTGGTGTCCAATGAGGAGAAATCCGAAAAGAAGAAAAAGAAGAAGAGCAAGAAGGATAAGAATGCCGAAAATGGGGACTCTGGTGTCAAGCCTGATGCTGATGATGATGGAGCAAGCAAGAGTGAGAAGAAGAAAAAGAAGCACAAAGATGCTGAGCAGGAGTGAGGATAAAGGCCTGAGGTAAAGTAGTCGATAAGAGTGTTATTGTAACATCAATGTGTTTATCCACAAAGAAAGTCTGGCCTTTTTGAAAGTTTTTCTCTCCATTTTTGAGGGAGATTGTTTATCTAGCTTTGCTTGACTAGAGTGTTTGATCATGGACTTGGTTTAGTAGCGTGCTACTCTGGACGGTTTGATTTTTGATTATTTTTCATAAGGTTTTGTACTTTATTATCCAGATGTTTTTGGTTATGACTTTGTTAGTAACATTATCTTGTTATCTTTTATATTATTTCGGTGAAGTGCCGGTTTAAGTTTATGGCTTATGCTGTGTTGTTAATTGCTCTCCCTATTTGATGAATGCTGTTGAAAGGCTTTGATTTCAATATATAAGCCATATAACATAGCACAATCCTCATCTTCCACTCAGAGATTTGGAAAAATGGTTTGCAATTCAATTCTTTTCCATACCGTGAATAGGTGAGAAATTTCCATTGCGCCTCATCTAGGTGTTATGTATGCCCTTGTCAGCCAGTACTAAGAATATTTCTAAGTGCTGTTTTCTTTATGGATGCAAATGAGCCGAGTTGAGCATTGGCTTGTTGACGCCTGCTCGAGCTTGACGAGCTTGTCTCGCTCGTGTGAGCGTCTTAGCTTGACTCAACAACCAAAACACAAAGGCTTGAATGGGCTGGGGCTGACTCGAATGTGATGGGCTTGAGTTCGGCTCGAAATTTTTAATGAAAAAATGTTTTATGGGGGTCATTTAAGTAATTTTACATACATTTGAGGGGTTCATCGAGCTCGAGTTCGATTTCAAATGCTCGAGCTTGGTCTTTAGCTCTCGTGAGTTGCTTGGCTCAATTGCATCCCTGTATTTCTTCCAAAATTATAAAAAACAGTGAGATTTATAAGTTGAAAAAATACATTGCTCAAAGCCGTAGGTTTGGTCATACTAAATCAACTAAGTTTGAGTTCGGTTCATAGTTGTTGATGTTGGGTTCACTTGTATCGTGGAAAAATTGTTTTGAAAATAAATATTTATCCTATAAATACTCAACCCGTAAATACATATAGCAAATAAACAGATCGTCATCATTTAAAAACACGTAATAATACGAATTTTGATTTGTAATAAGTAATTTCGAAAATTACTTTTTATCTTGAACTCTTTCTTTATATGACGATGATTGAGGAAATTAATTCCCGGTTATATATGACTTTCACCATCTCTTGTTCAATCTTGAGAACTAGTTTCTTCGCTAGTAGAAATTTCTCGATTTGTTTAATTAGTATCGAAATATTTATTTTAGAGGAGATTATAATTTTAATCTTTATTAAAATTTTCAAGAACTATTCTTGATATGGAAATAATTCTCAAAGTTCAAGAACACTTCTTGATTTACAACTCTTGTGATTTTTCTCTCTCAATTTTTTTGTTAATACAAGTGTGTACTTGTACATCACATATGTACACCTATTTATACTAAAACATTTAGATCACAAGATGTCATCTTGTATTTTAAAATTATTATTTTAATCAAATTAGATGGCATCTTGATCTAAATAATTTTTATAATAAAAAATATCATTAGATCTCATCTAATAATATTTTATTATTATTTTAATCTTTAATCAAATTAAAGATTAAATATTATGATTTATAATTTCTGAAAAAAAATTAATTTATCAAAATATATTATTTCTCATATTTATAAACTCTCCTCTTATTATAATCATATTATAATATGGATATAGATTTTAAAATCTAATTTTAAAATCCAACTATTAATTTAGTAATTCCATTAATTACTTAATTAATATCCAAAATATAATTAATCAATCAAATTGATTAATTTAGTATATTCCTTTAATTGATATCTAATCAAAATTAGAATTAATTAAATCATCAAATTATTTAATTAATACTTGTCAATTAATTCTAACTCATTAGAAATACTAATTTCAAATGATCTACATTCAAAATTGGGTTTGACCTTTTAGGTTCATTATTAATACTAGTAGTGGGTTTACAACTCTTTGTAATTTGAATTAATCAAATTAATTTTTATTCTTTGAATTAACTCCTTAATTCAAGAACCCACATATCATGGAAACATCTAGCAAGTAGCATGAATCTAGTATTAAGCGAATAGCGAGTAAACCTTTTCGATTACAAGTCCATACATGTAAAATCCTTTCGACATCCAATTTTTCGATTAAATCTTGGGTATGATTTAGTCGAAACCCAAATTGATTTAATAACTATGATTCCATTTCAAGTTTGGTAATTCATATATGAATCTCTATTCATTCCGCCTTGGCCAAGGACTTTGAATTACAAACTATGAAACACATAGGAAATTCAATTATCTCATAAATGTCGAATCCTTTGTTGGTCACTGACAAACTTCCATTCATATTAATATAATACCCAAAATATCCCTTTATACGACTGTGCTAGCAATCAAAAGGATAAATCAAAGTAAAATATAATATGCACAAAGTTACTATCGTGCCTCAAGTCTAAGGATCAATCATGTACTATTGTAACATGAAAATTCTTATTCGACATAATAAACTTCCATTCAGAATTTTCATACGGTCATGTTCAGTGAAATTGTTATTTAACAAGCACCCACATATATGTATTTGCGACCCACGCTAATGTTGATGGAATATATCATATGTACAAGTTTTTCCGGATTATTCGATATCCCATCTCGAAATATCCAACGACTTAGAACTGTATTTAAGATCACAGCTTTAAAGATATGCTCCATGATTACCATCAAATGCGCAACCATGCCATATAGCCATTAATGATCTAAGGACTTTATCATATGTGCAAATAAAGGATAAATGCAAAGATATAAGATAAAACAATGCCTTAATAATATAATTCCAAGAAATTGTTTTTACAAGTAGAAATAAATCCAATCTGATTGGAACGCCGAGTATTCTACTCCAATAGTTGACTCATCTCATACTAAAGATGAGAAAAAAAAAAAAAGGGAAAGCAAAATAAAGAAAAATAGACAAGAAAATAACATAATTTTAGGTGGTCAAGGGGTATAAATTTTTTACAAATATAATCCATGTTATTTTCAACAATTATACAAATCGAATACTTATTAAAAAACATTAAAAAAAAAGAAAAAGAAAAATACGGTTTCACAATTTTTTGTTTCATCATATTCCAAGCACAACATATTATACGACCTAATTGTTGGTCGATCAGCCACACTTTCTAACAAAAATGCATATGACTCGTAATGTTAATGTCATACCTAACTATTGGTCAATTAGTCACACTTTCTAGCAAAAATGCATATAACTCGTATTTATATTATGTAATATCAAACTTCAGTTTATGTTATTTGTAAAGTATGATATTTGATTGAAAAAAAAATATGTATATATATATCTCTCTCTTACATATAAGAAAAAGTGTAAGGAATTGTGGCGCTGGCACGTGGCGATTTTTTGGGAGAAAAATGCTCCTGCAATTAGCTACTTATTACACTGTTGCCCCTCAATTATTTCCCTTTTTCTTCTCGGGTACGTCTCCCACCAAATTCCCACAATTTCTGCATTCACCCATACAATGCCGTGTGAATGATGTCAAAAATCCTCCAGCCTCTCCAAAAATCCTCTCCCAGAGATCTTCCGAAAATAAAAAAAGAAAACAAATTTTTGAAAGCCAAAAGAACGCGACAACAACAAGGTTACGGAACACGGTATGCCGGAGACAGTGCAAGAAGCAGCTGCGAAGGCGAAAATGAGGCGAGATCTGCGAGGCGAGCCAGAGAGAGAGAGAGAGGGAGACCCGACGGGCTGGCGAGCCAGTACGATGTGTAAGCATCCATTTTCTTCTCTGCCAAAAAGTTGTCCAGCTCTCCCGATTTGTCTCCTATGAAACCCTAGCCATCGTCTCCCGATGTCAGTCGAAATAAAAGAAAGCCAATTTGGATTTTCGGCTCCATTTTTTGGGAATCCTCAAGGTAATAAAGGCGCTGCCTTTTGTTTTGTTTTTGTTTTTTTTTTTTCATTTGTGCCTCATTGCGTTTGGGTTTTAATTCGTGATTTCGATGGAGTTTTTGTTGTTAGCTGAGGGGTTTTTACTGTTTATTGTGTTGTGAAAGAGCCTTTTGATTTTTTTGTTATGTTTATGTGATTCTTTTGATAGATTTGTTTTAGTTTTTCTGATGTTTGAGGTTTTGTTCGAGTCTTTGGAGTTGTTTTGTACTATAAAAATCCAATCATTTTGAACATGTTGATCTTGATGAAATCGAAAAAGAAGAACCAGAACAGTCTGATAAAATTAATAGTCCTTTGCAGGTTGGGAATGAGAAGAGCTCGGAAGTTGACACTCAGGTGGAGCAGGTAGTGAATGAGAAGTGCTCAAAAGTTGACACTCAGATGGAACGATTGATAATGAAAAGAGCTCTGAAGTTAACACTCAGGTGGAGCAGATTGTGAATGGGAAGAGCTCGGAAGTTGACGCACAGATGGAGCAGATTGTGAATGAGAAGAGCTCTGAAGTTGACACTCAGGTGGAGCAGAATGGTCCACAGAAGGACACGAACAAGAAAAGCTTGAACAAAATGGTTAGCTATTTCGTACAAGCCGTGGATGAATATAAGCATAAGGTTGCATTTGGGTGTTTCGAAATTATGATCTTCGTTTTATAAAAATTACCCTATGGTCCAGTTTGCATTCTTTTAAAAGTTTGGACA